ATTTATTAAGAAATGAAGAAACACTATTTAATATTAGACAATCATTTATCAAACGAATAAGATTGTGTATTAATGTAAACGGGGGTCATATTGAGAATTTAATGTAGCCACCTGAATGTAATTAAATTATTATTAAAAATAATCTTTAGTTTTTTACGTAAGTAACTACAAACTTTTATTTTATTTTATTTTATTGCATCCAATAGAAAAACAAGAAATAAATCGAAAACGGTTAAATTTATCGACATAAAACAAGTATCCCTTATTTGTGAAAAATAGATAGGAGAACAATATTTTTCTATTAAAACTTTCGTACACACACTGATAAAAAAGTTATAACCAGTTTTTATCAACCAAGAGTACATTTCGTAGCGCCCTCTAGCGTCTACAGCAAAATTAAGTACGGATTCGTTTTTCTCGTCCCAGAAAACCCCCTAATCCAAATTTTCAAAAGAATCCTTTGAAAACTTTCCAAGAATTTTAAGAATTTCGAATTCAAAATTTCAACTTTAACGCCCTGTAACTTTTTTATTAGCCACAAATGGACCAAGGTAAGTTTGGCTTAATCGCATTATTTTGTTGTAAGGAATCCATTCTTGCTCTGTGTCCCATTAATTTCGGGACACTCTGTATATTGAAATATTTATATATAAAGCAAGGAATACCTTGTAGAAATGTTAGACTAACATTTCTAACAGTTAGAGCATAATAATGCTTAAATTTTTTTAACGTCTATAAAATACTATGTAATTTTACCGTTTTACATCAAAATTACTTTCGGTATAGTAAATATTGGTAAATTTACATCATGAATGAATAATAGAAATAATAATCTTAATATAATTTTACTTGTTTATAGAATGTATTTTTTTTTGGGTGTATAAAATAAAATAATATTTTTTCTAAACACTCAATAGGCTAAAAGCTTTCGATAATTTTAACTTAGAAGCTTAATAAGTAATTGTCTATTGTTTAAAGTAGAAGTAGTATTTTTCTGTGGAAACATAAAGTTAACAAGATTTTGTGCACGTATATTTAAGTGACTGTCTTCCATCTGCAGATGATTATATTCCTGTTCAATCATTGTCCTGCCTCAGTATCAGTTAAAAATTACCCTCTCAATGGCTGCACAGATTTTCTGTAGTTATATCCTATAAATTAAGCGTTTAAAGCCTAATAAGCAATTGCGCACCGACATCTGTGCCCAGGAGAGGCATGAAGGTAAGTAATTTATTCTCATCAAACAGATAGTATGTCAATGGAGGCATATAAGCGGCCTTCATTATAAGTAATAAGTGGGTAGCGCGCGTCTTTATATGTCTGGAGAATACGGCTATATTGAAAAAAAAAAGTGAATTAACCTCGCGCTGGTAACTTCTTTGTTCTTTTAATTGATTTAACGACAACTCGGTGAGACAGTGGGCGTCGCAGGAATGATGATAACATTTTTTTTATTTGCGTCGTGGTATATTCTTTTATAGAACGGACCAAGTTACATGGAAACGACATTTAAAGTATGGTTATGATTTTGTTATTTATTATTACGCAACGATTTTTATAATATTAAAAGTAATTTAAAATTTCATTAGGCGGCTACACTCTTTTTTTGTAAATGTTTCAGTTTGTTACGTTTACTTCTATAAAAAATTCTGTGTGCATGCAAGGATAAATATTATAACTTGGAATAATAATAACCGACCAAATTTTTACTCTCTTATAAGGTGTGAGGTGTGGATTTTATATCAGTAAATTTTACTTTTAATTCGATTATGCACAACATCTACTTATTAGTCCAGTATACAACGGCATAAATAGGGTATTACCTCCGAATTCTTGACACAGGCACCGATTTTCATAAAAATTGGTGAGTAAGCTCATTTCACCGTCTTTTACAAAAGTTACATATCCATAATGTGTGCTTATTGTTTTTAGGGAGTGAAAACTACCCCAGCTTGCAAAAAACGTAAAAACCATAGATTTAAGTGTTATGTCAATAGAATAAGCATACTTTTATGTTTTGAATAATAATTTTTGATTTGTAGCAACATTTAAACCCTGAAAATCCACCCTTTATGAGGAAAAAAATAAGTTTTCGCAACTCTGTAATGTAGAGACACCCTGTATATTAAAAACAGCAGTTCAATTGTAATTTAATATTGGCGAATTAAAATCAACATGAATTCCTTTTACAAAAATGTAGCCTTATATTATTTTGTTAATTCACAAAAAAAGTTAAAACTGAGAAAATAAATTTTTTGTGAGAAAATCTTAACAGTAATGGAAATGTTTTTTATTGGTTTTGGTAGCAAGATTTCTTTGCAACATTAAGCTAAAAACAAAATGACAAAATTCTTATTTTTATGCTTCTCATACCCAAATTTGCTAAGTTTGATTTTAGTTATTCTGGTTAGTTATGACGAGGTGCCGGCATGTCGCTAAGTTTTAGAACACCCTGTATAGAATATGAATTTAAGCTCAAGTGCTAAAATATTAGATTTTACGTGTTACGTTACGAAGCGCGCAAAGTAGTGTTTTTAAGCGCGGTAGGATGTGCTCTTCAGTATAGAAGACCTATTATGAAACGGTTTCTGAACCGTTAGCGCCTCGCGCCGTTGTTCATTTTCCCGCTGCAGCTCATAATTATTTGTTAAAATCTCCCGTGACCACACGGTAAATTAAAATTAACGAAGCAATCCATGCACTTGTCAAAGTTAATTACTGCGCTTTTCGAGCATGCGGCCGAACGTTAATTTCAGTTCACCCGATTCCGGCCGAGGAATTTTTATTGAGGAATTCAAGACCGGCCTCGCCGGACTTAATTGACCGTATGACGAAATGTAAACAAGACCGTATTAATTAGTTTTTTGAGTGGCTTAACATACCCGGGTTGTAGTAATTTTTTATGTTCGGGGCGTT